GCTCATGCCCATTAAACTGATCAGTTCTTTCTTTTTTACAGGTCTTGATCGACCACGGATCAGACATGAAACTGACCACAACAGATATTACACCTGATCGTGGGAAGATGGTCAAGTCTCTCTCTCTCTCGCTCGCTCGCTCGTACACAATCTCCCTTTCTCCCTCTCACGCACATCCGCGCGTATCCGGCCATATCAAGATGAAATAACAATAAAAAAATAACAATAAATCACGTCCGGAAATAAAACCATTGGCCATATAGCAGTTGTGATGGCCGGCACGATTGCTTCGTGATCTTACTTATAACTACCTAGCCATAATCGTGGTCTCAAAATAACAATAAGATAACGACATAATAAAATAATAGTGATGATAATAATAATAATAGTAATAATAATAATAATAATTAAAACAAAAACAGATAGAATGTATACAAGCTATCTTTCCGACCCGGTGCAGTATCGTTGGGGTGCGTTGTACTCGGAGTTGGCAGTCGGTCTCCTCTCTTCTATCGAGGTGAGTGTTATCTCCCCTCCTCCCTCCCTCTCTCTCTCTCACACACACACACACACACACACACACACGCATTCCTTCGATAGGATGAGCAAAAACGGAATGAATCTTCCGCTGAAACGTGGAAATATACAGTGTCATTTTTCGATTTGCTCATTCTATCGATCCAAGTAGCGCGCAGCAAGGCGCGGGTTGGCGACTTAGCCTTTGGTCACGGTTAGAGACTTGTCGTCTCTCTCTCTCTCTCTCCTCTCTGTCTGTCTGTCTGTCTGTCTGTCTCTCTCTCTCTCTCTCTCTCTCTCTCTCTCTCTCTCTCTCTCTTTCTCTCTCTCTCTCTCTCTCGGATGCAGGGAGGCACGAAATGGAAAGATACTAGCGCAAGCACCCACACACACATACACACACACAAACACACACACATTCCATCGATAGGATGAGCAAAAACGGAATGAATTTGCTGCTGAAACGGGGAAATATACTTTGCCACCTTTTTTTTTTTTTTTTTTTTTTTTTTGCTCATACTATCGATCCAAGTAGCGTGCGGCGAAGCGCGAGTCGGAGACTTGGCTGATGGCCAAGTTTAGAGACTTATAGTCTTTTTCACACACACACACACACACATACACACTCACACGCAAGCACACACAGTGTAGTGAATCTTTCCACATTCTAGTGGTAGATTCATTCGATTAATTAATTTATTTGTTTATTTATTTTATTCTATCTATCCTATAGAGGAAAGTACCACGAGGTAAGTCGGGTGATTGAAGACTTACCTGTTCTCCCCTCATTAACGTCGTCGCTGTCACCGTCGTCGTCGGAGCCGCCAGTCCGTCATCGTCAGCTCGTCGTCGTCGTCGAAACCCGCAAATGCATCGCGCTTCCCACAAATCTCTGCCCTCGCATATGGCAAACAACGGATGCCGACGAGGTAAGTGTTCTCCCCCTTCCTCTTTCCTTTCTCCTTCTACTTCTTCTTCTTCTTCTTCTTCTTCTTCTTCTTCTTCTTCTTCTTCTTCTTCCTCCCTTTCCTTCTTCTTCTTCTCCTTTCTTCGATTCTCTCTCTCCTCCTCCTTCACGGCATTCTCCTCCTTCGCCTGACACTTCTCCTTTTCCCGCTCGCTGTCATCTCGTCGCTTTTATTGCGTGATCTCTCTGCCGCTCTCGCATGCTATCTTTGTTGGTCGTGCGTGCACTGCCCCGCTGCTTCCACCGCGCGACCATCCTCTCCTTCTTCGCGTTGCTCTACTCATTTGCGCCCCCGCGCTTCGTCTTTCCCCCATCGTCATCCTGTTCCGTGACAGTCTTCACGCGATGGTCGATCTCGACCTCCTCGAGGGAGTCGAGAGACTGTCACGACTTCGAAGTCAGGCTCCGTGCGAGCTTACAGCGGGCAGGACTTCGGTTGTAATGGTCGGTAAGTCTTTTTTTTTTTTTTTTTTTTTTTTTTTTTTTTTTTTTTTTGTAAATGAATCTATCGTGGATTCCAGAACAGATTCATTAAAGTAGAAAATAACACGGATCCAAGAAAAAATAATTATAATAATAATAATAATAATAAAAAAACAGAAAGAATCTAACTGTAAAAAAAGTAAAAATAAAAGAAAGAATCTAACTATTGACAACCCCGTTATGCCACTTGTCTTCACGGTTCTAACTGTAACAAACCCCGATCTCGAGGTCACGGATTCAAGGCCTGGTCGTCCGAACTCGGGTAAAATAAAAAGTAGAACCCCCCTCCCCTTTTCAAAATGGTAGCTAGCTCAGTGGCCAGTAGGTCTCGACCCCCGGATCCCCTGTATGTCGAACAATACTGAAACCTACTGAGCTAGCCTGTAAGGGCACTTGGTTGCTTAGAAGGCCTGAAGGCCGGTACTTACCTGCAACCGTGACATCGAGGGTCGCGGCGGGGAAAACACTCAAGTGGTAGGTAGGCCGGTACCACACCAAGTAAAGGTAGACGTGCCTCGTACTCGAGGCCGAGTAGAAGAAGATAAAAGTTAGCATTTTTTTAGAGGGTCAGTACCGGTACGTAGACCGGTACCCGTCCATGCCTTAGTGTGTGTTGTAAATATACCTGACGTACCATTAACTCAATCAACCCCTCGACCTTTCTGGTCGGAGGGTATCACTACTGATCCTAACTATTTCGAAATTTTCTCACCGATTTGCCCCCGGCTTCAATGGCCGAGGAAACTGTTTCAAGTGTCATGTCAGAGTGCGCACACCTTGTTTATTTTTGACCGGCTCCGTCAAAGTGACTGACGTTGTCACGGTGTCGAATGCAAAAATATGGCCAATGTATGGGCCAAGTACTGGTGGTTTAAACCCCCAGTACTTTACCTAGTTATCGACTGTAGCGTACAAACATTTATAGTTCGGTGAATTTGCCTGCTCCTGTAGTGGATCGTACATTTCTTAAAATTGTGGCATGTTAACGGGCACGACTTTAGGAAATACTGGTTTGGGTGAGGAAATGGCAAGATGGTAGAGCGAGTGATGTATTGTTCAGGGAAGAACAACGACTTGGGGCACCCGGATGGTTGAAGAAGTGAAAGTGACCCTCGAGTTTCATCTTTGCGGGACCTGACCTCTTTCATTCCACATATGGACATGGTGGCCCGTGGACTACCGTCTTAGCCCGAAAACAAGGTACGTACCTTGTATTCAAGTTACCTCCGAAAAACGGGTTCTTAAAAATCGTTGTTAAATTTTCGAATAGAAGGTACCCTTGAATATAGGATACGTACCTTGTATTCGAGGTGTGCCTTGTAACTGTCATGTAACACTCACTCTCTCTCTCTCTCTCTCTCTCTCTCTCTCTCTCTCTCTCTCTCTCTCTCTCTCTCTCTTTGTGGTGTGCATTGTCCATGCACGTGGACGTTATTCTCTCTCTCTCTCTCTCTCCCTCTGTGTGTGTGTGTGTGATGTGCGCTGTCCACACACGCACCTGCTTCCACACACGGACGCTATGCTCTCTCTCTCTCTCACACACACACACACACTCAAACACACTAGCGTTGGAATGCATGCCGTGAGCACACAGCACAGTCAATGTGTTCTTTCAAAAAAAGACAAAGAAGAAAGAACTGCAGCCCCGTCCTATTTGTGATACTAACACTTCTCCCCTCCCCCCCCCCCTTGGCTTAGGGAAGTTGCACCCTAAAATTCGTTCTACAAGGTACGTACCTTGTATTCGAATACAAGGTACCCCGTACCTTGTATTCGTATTATACAAGGTACGTACCTTGTTTTCGGGCCCGAGAAGGGCCTCCCCGAGGCAAGATAGGGGTGGTCGTCCATGCTTCAGTTCAGGTAATTTTTGTGCTTGTTTGGCTGGCTGGCCGACGAAGCGAACCTGAGTAACTGAGTAACTGAGTAATTCTCTCAGTGCCGTGAGGTTCCCGGGCCTAAATGAAGTCTGGACTGGCAAGTGTACGACCTACAGAACAGATCCTGTTCAAGGACAGGACGGTCGTGTAACCCGGTTTTCGCGCCGGTGCTCTTTCTCTGACTGATTACCTGGCAGGTCGCCCATTCGGTCTACGGTAACTTATCCAGACCTGTTTTGACACGTGGCAAGGCTCTGTACAAACTGCACTCGTCTTGAGGTGTTCGAATGGCAGGTCCAGAGGGCCTGGCCTGATGTGCAAGAGCAGGCTGCAAGTACCGGCGCGCAACTGGGCATGGCGGTGATGATGACAGGGCCGATGACGCTTCTCCACCGCACATGCCAGGGGGAACTCCGATACTGAATGACTGCTAACTGCAGGGGGTCCTTCGATTGATGGTGCGGGATTGATGGTGCACGAGCCTTGCGTGCTACCGTGGGCCGCAAGGCGTTGCGTAAGGAGGCGGAAGAGGAGGAGGATAGGATGAGGGCATCTGAGGAATCCTGATATATCAGATCGGATCGACCTTCCTCACTTACGTATTAGTATTACATTCTCCAATCGCTCACGCGAGTGGAATCGTAAGATCTGGTCGTGCAACCGAGAAGCACCGAACCGCCTCCTTGTACGACCAGTTGTCGTCCTAATCGACGCTTAACCTCGTCCGTGTTTCCTCTGTGTGTGTGTGTGTGTTGTGTGTGTGCGGGAATGTATACTGCGTTCACCTGCGCACGATTGTGCGAGCGTGCGCATTACCCGCAGACAGACAGGGGAAAGTGAGAGAGAGAGAGAGAGAGAGAGAGAGAGAGAGAGAGAGAGAGAGAGAGAGAGAGAGAGAGAGAGAGAGAGAGAGAGAGAGAGAGAGAG